AGTTTATTATGTACATCAGTTTGAATTCGAATAATATATCAGTTTCTCTCTATACTTATCTTTGTTTTATAGTGTTTGTTTTATAACAAACATGACAAATTACTATGTATTAATAGAGCTACGGCTTCGACCAGTGTGCTTATTGTCTTTTCGATAAAGATCAAGGGCATTTAAGTCATTTAAATCAGCTTATCTACGTAGTATAATATTTGAATGACGTTCCACGGAGGCAACATTAGGTTTTTCTTCCATTTCTCCATTTCTTTGTATAATAAACTTTCAGAGTTTAGACTGCTTCTAGGATATCTCTTCGTCTTCCTCACATTGCTTCTACCAGCAGGTATGTTTTTATCAATTCTGCCCATATTTTTTGCTATGCATCTGATATAGAAACATTCTCTCCTTCTTCGACTTCAATTTGGTTGTTTTCTATTTATTTCTCTTCTTTTTTCCTGCTCTTTCAATTAGTTCCAACCCACATGCAAAAAAATTTCTCGAGATCAATGGCTTCTCGATCTTAGTCCGCTGCTGATACCGATATGGGTATTAAGCCTAATTAAAAGGAAGAAAATTTTGGGTATAGTATTATAGTGCTTAATAAAGTTTGTAATTCTTCGGTTCGTCGTCTTCTTTTGTTTTATCCTCTGTTTCGTCACTTTTACTGGTTCATTTTTTTACCTGTAACTATAGTCTTAATCAATTGGGATTTTGCAATTTTGGCCTACGATGTTAAATTGGGCTCAGTTTGGATAGTATTTGTCAATCGTGTTTTGATAGTTGGAGCTTAATCTTTCCCTTATGAATCGAAAGAGCAAGGCTTCTAATTAACTTCTCTGCTCTTCGGAACAGGCCTAACTGATCAATCACCTTGTGCAGAGGAGCACATAGCTATATTTAAATCGAGCAATAAAAATACATTTTAAACTCGAAGCGTGCTGAGTTTTGGATTTTTTGGTTTTCTCGGTTCTTTGCATACTTCTCGATTTTGCAATTTCGTGGCAAATGTATACGCTAAATTCGCCAAGTCTTAATTTATGGTTTTTATTTATAAAATTATTTGCGAGGCACCTTATCTTTCCCTAACTGGTAGAGCCAATATGATCAAACTGGTTATTGGCTAGTCTGCTTCTAACTCTTAGGTTGTTTTAACTTTTCAGGTTTCTCCTCTATTGCAGTTTTTGTGATCCATGTGGTTGTTGTGTATTTGTGTTATTCAGTAGTGTTTCAATCATAAGGTAAATTTTCTTACCAACTTCTTACTTTAATAAAGCTTTTGATATCGTCATCAGTATGCTGCCCCTGAAACTACAACAAAAACAATAATGTTTCTATTTAAACTGAAAGGAAGTGAAAAGCAACCTTAATCTTTTCATCATTCTAAGAAAGAAAGTTTCGCTTGTTATTGTAAAAATATTCCTTTCAAGTTCAAATTTGAGTTTGTTTTAAAAGTTCAGTTGGTATTTTCTTACTAATAACTCTTCTTCATTTCATATTTTCACACCCCTGTTTTGTCTGCTTGATTATTGCTTTGTGTCAGCTTCTCCCCTTCATTTCTTTTTTCTCTGGTCAGTAGATTCTGTTTGATTTCTGGATTTCTCCATTTGCTTTTTGATTTTTGGCCTCTGTTGTGCCTATCACGATTTATTCTTTTTATTATTGCAGTTCTTGTGATCCGTTGTGGTGGTTGTGTACTTCTGTTATACATATATTCTAGACAAAGTATCATATTTCCTGATGGTTGGGTGTAATAACAATTGATTTAGCTGCACCTTTAGACATAGGATTTCTGCTCAGCTAGAAAGATGCAATATACAGTAATTAATAGCTGACAAATACATTAAGCTTAGCTGTTTTAAACTTAGCCTTAAATAAGAAATCTAAATTAATAAAAGCATATACAATAGTTTTCATTAAACACTTGCAAATTAAAAAGTACCCTATATGTTAACCAGCTACAACTCTTCGTTAACCTTCTTTTTGCTCTTTCTCTGTCCTTTTTGCTTTCTTATGGGATTTATTCCCTCAGGAGGTTTAGAGTAACATTAAAGAGCCTTTTACTATTTTTTGATATAATACTTCAAAAGAAATGCTTAACTAAATGTTAAAACTCTTCTTGAACTATAATTGCCTGTGAAGAATATATATGGTAGCTGGTTTTCTGCCTTAAATCAGGTTGGGAGACTTGAGAAGTACAATATTCCTTTATATTGTACAAATTCTGCGGGGTTATTGTATTGTGGCTGGTACGTTGAAGGACACACAACAAGAAAAAAAACATTTTAAAGGGATGGCCGAATAATAATTTGGATAGCATCTAAGAACTTCTTGACCATAAATTGTTTTTCCTTTCATGGTTGAAGAATTTGAGTTTGAATAGATGATAAAATCTTTCACTATCATGATTTTTAGTACAACTTATTATAAATTATAGCTTCCAACTTTTCGTCTTCCTATTTTTTTGCATGATAATACGAATATGAAACAAATAGGTGTCTCACATTGCAACTTTAATCTTTTTGTTCACTCGCTTTTACTTTAAAGTCATGAAAGGTTGTGGTCATTTAAGTTAATTATGACTGTATATAGAATTATCTGAGTTGATATAATAAGAGTTCTGATTTCATACTTGCGATTTTCTTTTTCCCATATTGTGGTTTAAAAAAGCATGATAGAATTTCTTAAGATTAATAGTTACATATTTCTGTTATGGTTTTTCTTTTCTATATTCTGGTTTAAACAAAGCATGAACAAATTCCCCCCCCCTATTATTTCCTTTACTTGCTAAGAGTTTTATAAGCTCAAAGTGAGTACAGTGATAGCAGATGTTAGTTTAGAAATTTCAACTTTAAAGTTGGACTGGATTGCTTTAATGTTGCAGTAGAATGTGCATATATTTTACGGCAGATAGGGACCTTCCACTTGTTAGAAATTGAGCTATACAGACATTTTGTATTGAGAAAGTTATGATGCTTCACCTGATTTTATTTTCAAACTCAACCCTCTACTCTATATTATAGAATGCTCCATCTTTTAGTCATTATAATATTTCTGTACACTATATTTTGTTAACCTATTTTACTGAAAACCTAAGCAAATAAGTGTATGGATAGTTACTAGGAACTTGTAAGTACAGTGTTCAGGTTAAGCTTATACTTCCAAGTATTTTTAAAGGTTCCAACCACACTTTAAGCAGCTGGAAAAATGCTGCACTTTAGAATAGTAGCTTTCATATTTGATAGTACTTTTAGATTGTAATATAGGGTGTGACTCATCCCACTATATGCTAGCATGCTATGGTTAAAATTAATCTTCTTGGTTTAGGTTCTTTTTGGTATATTTGCCTTTAGTTGCTACAAGGCTTTTTTTGATATCCAGATTAACAACACAGTACTTGACTACTTGCCTCGAAGATATTTTGGCTTCTAATTCTACTATGAAATATAACATATTTATTTGTTCGCTGGCATTTTTAGACAAGAATTATAATGCATCATCTTCCGCTAATATGTAAATTGTTATGTTATATACTATGTTGTAACTACTGTGGCACTGTAAGCATTCCCTAATGTGGTGTTGTCATGGATACAAACAACATATATTTTGATCAAAATGTATGTAAATAGGTATCTATCACTTAGCATGCAATATTGTCTGCTCGATTCCACACTTGCAACACCAACTTCTATTATATTTGCAATTAGAAATCATATAAAGCTAAATAATATTGGGCCCGTGCTGGCACGGGTTGACACCACCTAGTTAAAGTAATGAAAGGAAGAAGAGTTGGGCAGGAGACGAGGCTTCATAGCAGATGATGGTCCTAAATACGTTACTTCTTCCAAGATGGGCGGAAATAAAGAGAAAAACATGACTCCTTAAGCAAACTGACTACTACGATATCCAGCTAAAGCACTCAAATTAGTAGATAAAAAAAACCAAGCTCTATCTTGAACATAACCACGAACACTTTAAAATTATATAGTAGGCTCATATTATATTTCAACCACAAAGTTCACAAGAAAAGAAAAAGATATGAACCTGAAAATTACAGCTTTGATTGACTGAAATTTTAAGCAAAATTACACGAGCAAGATGAACCAAATTTTATGGCGAAATTGGAAACGGACGGAACTCGAACGGACCAACCCCGAACAACAACTCCAATCAATCAACTTCGATGTATGATACCCCATTTCGGGTAAAAACGAGGTGTGACAATTTGTATATCATAGTGTATAGTACATCGGATATGTGTATACAACTATGACATGTGATTGAACTAGAGTTTTCAATCTGAAATGTGTTATACAAAGAAGGAAAATAAAATTTTCATAAATTTTTTGATATACACATTATTATTATGTTATACACAGTGATATACAAATAATATAATTATTAATTATTGATCAAAAAAGGAAAATAAATTTTTGATATAGCATGTTTAAGCAAGTTCTAAAATATAAAAATAATTAATATAATTGTGGGAGTAAATAATATTTTGATATACAAAGAAAACTTATGTTTGATATACACAAAGAAGAAAAATAAACTTTTGATATGTATTTTGGTATACACATGTCCGATGTGCTATACAAATAATACAATATTTTTATTGTGATATACATTGATATAAAGGCAGCAATAACTATATATATAATTTTATATTATTGATATTCAAAGAATAATATTATTTATGTACAAAGAATGAAAATAAAATTTTAATATACATGTTGATATAGACAAAGAAGAAAAAAAATGTTGTGATATACATATTATTATTGTGATATACATTTATTGGCTATGTGATGCCAATATCTATAACTAGGGCTATTTTCTGCCAATTATATGGGTATGTTGTTATACCATGCCAAAACCACATTCCCCTTTCTCTAAACAGTTGAACTTCTTAAAGGCCAATGTCTAGGCCCAAGCAAATATTGGGCTGGTCCACTGAATACCGGCCCATATACTGCTCTCTCCGAAAATGTAAAACCCCCAAAAGGCATCAAACCATCACTCACACACTCTCTCTCTAGATTCTCTCTCCGACCTGAAACAACAAGGTGAGACCGCTATTCATCTCTCTATATATATGTGCGCTTATATATATATATATATATATATATATATATATATATATGCGCTTGTGTACGTGAAGTGTTGTACGTTGTTGTATTGTTAGGGTTCTCTAGGGTTTCATTTCACCGATTTTCATCCTGGCAGTTCGATTACTTAATGCGTGGCTTTTTAAATTTGTGACAATCGTGAGCTATTTCTATGACGTATGAGAATTTCATTTCTGTAAATTCTTTAGATGTTGCATTGGTTGGTTCTGTTTATATGCTCATTCATTTCTTCCTGATGGTTATATACATACTATGTTACTATATAGGTGCATGAAACAATAAATTGGAAGTTTTTAAGTGCAAGGATAATAGAATACTAAGTTTTTGTCTGTTTTAAATGGTATTGGTTTTGATCGTAACAATAATTATTGTCACTTCGATAAGAAGTGCGATTTGCTTTACAGACCATCTGGAATTAGTTATATGTCAAATAGGCAATGAATAGGATGATCGTTTGTGTGATTTTTAGGTCATCCAAATAGATTTTTCGAAGCGGAAAATTTCGCTAGCCGTTGTTGTGGGAATGGGTATCCAACAATTGTATTTTGGTTCGAACAAGGCTAGTAGAAAGTACACACAGTTCCCTAGATAGTTAGGTCAATCTGCTTGTGATGTCATTGAATCATTGATTATATGTACATAGATTGGGAATTAGCATCATCTCAGTTCTTTGGAAGCATAGTTTCCCCTGTGGCTTTAGCTATCCTGTAAAAACCGCTCTTGTTTATGGGCAAGAGACTGATTGACAGTTGCAGAAATTTCTTGTTGAGTATAATAGTAGAACCAAAGAAATCACCTAGCTATTGTAAAGATTAGTTGCCTTCAAAATTTGTATTTCTGGTGTAAAGAAAATATAGTTGAAAACTTACATAATGCAACTGATGCAGCTATGCTGTAACTTGTAATTTTTTGGGTACCTTCTTGGTCCTCCTTTAATGAAACCTTTACCTTATCCAAAAAAAATAAAATAGTAGAGCATTATACCAGTGAAATTTGGCATTTGCCTTTGCACTTTTTCCTTTTTAGCCAACATCATTAACCCGATTATTCACTTGGTCAAAGCAAAAAGTTTGATACTCTATTTTTTGATTAGGGAGAAACTGTCCATGGTATTTAAAGAAGAAAATACTTCGCTTTTCAAAATTTACTCTTCAGAAGTTTTCATGACAGTCAAAAGTATGGATTTTATCCATTCACCTTTTATAGCGTCTTCTTTGTCACTTATCTCTTTTTTCTTCATTAAAAGGCTTTACAGGCCGTAAACGTATAGCCAGGAGTAGAGGTGGAGCTATGATTTCAACTTTATGGGTTCTGGATTAGAATGACGACTTCAAGTGCTAATAATTGGGTTCTTAATTTAATATTTGTTCATATTTGATGAAAATTATAATATAAATACACCGTTTGAGCAAAAGCTATTGGGTTTGAGCATTTGACCAAACCCGTGGCCGGGATTCTAGCTCCGCCCGTGGCCAGGAGTAATGTGAAAAAGCCCTCTTACTTCACATTGTTATGATGAAAGCTTAAATGAGTTATTATATAAAAGAATCTAGTTGACTCAGAAAAGGTTGGTTGTATTCTGTTATTTTACTTTTGGTGCAAAGAGAAGTATGCTGATGAAGCTGAATCACTCCTAGAAGTCATAGAATCCCTGTAAGCTGAACAGGATATAGTTTTTCTGAATTATGCATCTTTGGTAACTTGTAAATATGGTTTCCAGCACTTTGTACTGCTGATTAATATATTGTTACCTATTCCAAAAAAAAAGAAGGTTGGTTGTGTCACATGGATTAGTTCGGAAGAGAAATTGTATTGTTACCGAATTGTAGGTCTATTTTCAGAGAAAATGAAGAAAGGTATTCACCCTCAAATGCAATGGATATCCTATGTGACACAAAGTGGACGATTGATGCATGTTATGATGACCAAAATACACCAAACAGGCAAGGTTTATCACATTAGAGCAAGGCGTCAAATGGCTCAAAGTATTGGTCAGATTGCAAAGTTTAAGCGCCGGTATGGTGAGAAGGAGGAGGAGTAGGTGGAGAAAGCAGAGAAATGAAGGTTTAAGTTGGAAAAAGAATGAATTACATTTTGTGGATGAATTCATCCTTACCTTTTCCCTCTTCATTTCGTCTTAACTTTTCTGTTTAAGGAATGAATAGCGGTCTTCTTGTATGCTGTCACCCCTTTGAATGTTTGTTAAACATTAGTGAAGAAACATTGGCTCATCCTACTGTCAGCGTCTCCTTGTTTGAAAGTATTTTATGAGGTTTAAGATACTTTAGTGTCTCTGTCTTCTTATTTGGAATTATTGATGGTTCTTCACCCGTGTCAAGTGACCAAGTTCTCATGATTCTGGTGTACTTTTTTTTGTTGTAGTAAATTCCTGACTAACTTTTAAGAGAAGGAGAAATTAAACTGTAGGAAGTAGGTTGCATGTTTGTGTATCTCCCTCTGTTGTTTCCTGTCTTCAGTAAGCTAAAGGACAAAGCTGTTATATTGTTGTAGTCACATGTTTTATTGTCCCAAAGGTGTACACAATAATATGATTGTTGCTCAAAATTGAACACCATTCTCATTTACCTGTTGTGAACAGTTTTATGAGATCTTTTTTCTTTTTGTTAACTAAACTATTTTCATTACAAATAGTAGTATGTACAGCAAATACAAAACCTGACAGTTGAACCATAGGTGTCAACTATCAGCAGCAATCCTTACTTCTCTTACTCAGCAATCCTTAGTTTCTTATTCAGCATTTTTATTCGGGGAACAGAAAAAGTTTTTTTTTTTGGATCAAGAGGAAATATTTAATATATGTGCTAGATATCAGTACATAGAGGGACTTTCCCACTGGAATATAGCTCCCAGCCCCCAGGGAGTAGTTTACAACATATTTAGATGCAAAGGGTGGGGGAAAGAGATGTAGATTTGAGCTCTTAAGAACTTTCTATTTGCTTCCACTCTTAGCTAGTTAGTCAGTTACATGGTTAGCTTCTCTGTATGTGTGCTTCAGAGGAGTAACGTGCAATTATCAATGAGGTGAGGAAAATGAACATTACCTATTTGAAGTGCAGTAACTACTACATTTGAGCCTGAGTTGATTTCAAGTGGATGTAGTTTCTTTCGAATTGCTATCTCTGTAGAGCTGTTTGTTTTGCAAATATGTCAATTGTGAAAGGAAGTATCATATAGTAGCCTAAACTCCAGTCACCTTTGTGATTTCTGGAGCACCTCCTATTCCTCCTACCCCGGGTTACTGATTACCCAATGGGGAACCTTCTGTAATTAATTCCTTTGACAGTTTAGTTTGTATATTTCCTTCTTTTTCCTGTAAGCATTATTTATTCGGTAGCTTTTGCAATGACTGAGTTGGTATTTAGAAGATCCTTTTTATTAGTGAAGTGGTTTTTGATTTCGATTGATCCATTTGTGCCAGAGTCAGAAAGGGGAAATGTTGACCTTAGTAGTTATTATTAGAAGTACAGCTGGTTTAATCCAGTTCTGATGGAAGACAGAGGGTCATAATTTGATGTAATTTGTCCGGCCAGAATTTTTTTAACACACTGCACTCTGTAAAAATATGAGCTATGGTCCCCTGCTCATTATGACATATTTGGCTTTCTTCCCCGATTATGATGCCACTTTCTTTTAGCAACTTTCCATGCTACTGCCGCAGAAGTTACCATTCATAAAGAAACAGGAGAGTGTATTGACTAGCTCTGACAAACAGGCTCAGTTATGAGCTCTTTTAAGAACATCTTTAATCCCAAAGATCCATAGTATCCACAAAATTGTATGATACAAACATATAACCACTAACATGAAGAACTATAAGAACCCCTACCTCCTTTTTTCCTAGTAGCAGATGCTAATACAAACGTAGATTACAAGCCCTTGTTAACTCCCAGGAAAGTAGGGACAGAACAACAAAAAAAAAAAAAAAAAGACATATTGCCCATCAAGCAGTCAGCAAAATGATTCTAATGTCCCTCGCTTACTCCACCATTACATCCACGGAAGCTTCTGTAGCTTGTTTATTAGAATTCCTTTTTCCCTTTCCTGTAACACATGGATTTGTAGTCAATAAGCGAAATTAACAAAGAATCCTAGTTCAAATAAGAATGTAAAATAGCAACTCTATAGGAACTTGCCTTTCTTCTTCAATTGCTTCAGTTTAAGTTTTGAGCTCTTCATGGGAAATTTAACAGGTGTTCTATTGGCATCTTGAGTTTTCCCTGAATTCATTAGGAAAATCCGAAAATTTCCATCAGTTACATGGATCAGCCCCTTTCAAGGAGAGGACAGAACAGAAAATAAAGCAGATATAACAACCACCAAACAAATCATTGAACTTTTAACATTTTCACATAGGAAGCAACCTATTCATATAGGAAGCATTAACTACACTTGTAAACACAAAGAGTAAAGCAACAAAAAGATAACTCTTTCCTACTGAACTAGCAACCTCAGCTCAATATAAGAAATTGACTAGCATCAACATTATAGCTCTCACCCTAGAATGGATTCAAGTCGTAAAGTCACAAGGTTCTGAATTCTAACTAGTTCGAGTCAGGGGCGGAGCTAGTCAGTGATTAAAAAAGCGCTCGCTTCCTCGCTTTAAGCGAGAAGTGAAGGGCAGCACTTAAGGTAATAGAAGCAACTCTGGTACGAAAAGGGGGCCGCTTCTCTGTAAAAAGCGAGAAGTGGTGAAGCGAGAAGAAGCGTCCGCTTCTATGTTTAAACTTAAACCCAAGCCCTATTTTATTTAAAAACGAGGTTTTTAAACCGTAAACACTGTCTGGACTTCTTTAACAGCAACGAGACTAGGGTTTTTCTTCAACAACAAGAGCGATTTCTTCTTCTCTTCATCAACTTCTGATTTCTGAAATAATCTCAAAGCATCAACTAAGGTTGTTCTTCTTTTGCACTTTTGATTTTCAGTCTTCTTCTTCTTCTTTTTTTTCTTTCTAAACGTCCAAAAAGCGGCGAAATACTGGCGAACTTTTTTCAGAAAATTTCTGCCCAATTTTTATATCGTTTATTCTTAGTTCTTATTGCCTTTCTTATGTGTTATGTAGTTGTTCTTTTTTAAATTCCGCTTCACTTAAAAAAAGCGAGCGCTTCGCTTCTCGCTTCTCGTGAAATGGGGGTTGTAGCTTTCCTCGCTTCATGCTCTTCACAACACTGGAGTAGTAAGAGGAATTGAATCCCCTTCGTCAAAATTATACAGTGCAAATAGGGTAAAAATACAATCTTTATAAACTTTTGAACCCTGTTAACATAAGCAAAATTCTAGGTAGTGATAAAGAGGGTTCAAAAGTTGTTTTAGGTCAAAGTTTAAACCCCAACTATTGCCATTCTAGCATTTTTTTTCTTCGAAATTCCTTATATAAATTCCCCGTTCTGCCAGTGGCTCGAATAGGAAATGCCATTGCACCCACTGCTCTCTTGAAGCAGCAGGTTCAGATCATCTATTTTGTAATGGATTTTCCTCTCTCATGCGCGCGCACACACACAAAAGCTCATAAGCAAAATGCTGCGGGTCCGAACCCTCTGCTTAAACACTAGGTCCGGAGAATCAGCTACAGCAGTAAATAACTTACCATCAGCAGCATCAGCTACAGCCATCTCCACATCCTGCATTGTAATCACCCCTTTTTCTATAGCCTCCTTTTGCTCCTGTTTCACATCATTCAAAAGCGTCAAATCACAAATTTTCATCTTTATATACATATAGAATTAAAAATAAGAGAAGGAACTAATATTGATTAGAGATTACAGACCCTGCGCCATTTCTTGAACAGCTTGCGTTTTCGCTTGCCGGAGATGGAAAGAGGTTGGGCCTTCTGCTTAAGCTTACGAGTATTTGGGTCCCCATGTTTTGCTCTCTTACTCTCTGCGATTAATGCTCTCCTCTTCTTCTGCACCTCGTTAAATTTCGCCATTACGTTATCTCGCCTTCACCTTCAATACTCGTCTTAAACCCTAGTTATTTTTCCTCTGCCACTTTATACGTGTACGCCGCCGCTTTACGTTGACCCGGTTTATGTATCAACCCGGTTCACACGCCCGTTCTATTTTTTAGTTTTGTGTAAATAATATAGGGGAAAAGACAGGAGTACCTATAAAAGTGAAACTATTTACCCTGCCCTACCCATTAAAGAATTCTACCCACTAAATAATTACAATCTCCTATCCATATAATAAATAAACGGAAATATCAAAATAACTACCCCACGCTTAATGCTCTACCTATAAAAACGCAAAAGCTGCTCAAATTTCAGAAAATCAGCGCACAAAATTGAGATTTCCACCGACATTCCCTAATTTGAAGATCACTAAGTGTGAAAAAACAGATCGAAGATGTTGATTCGCGTCTTCTTTTCGGATTTTGATTTCGCTGTTGTTTTGATTTTGATTTCGGAGCTAAACTTCTGAATTTTAGCTGAAAATTCTAATCTAGGTTTGGAGATCTGGAGATCTAGAGGTTTGATTTCGAAAAATCTATTGCAGCTATATACTGTTGAAATTTCGAACACTGTTGAAATTTGCATTGTTGAGATTCAATTTTAGACATAAAAGTGATTATAACTTCAGAATCATGGAAAATATTCCAATTCTGCTGCAGCATAGTGGAGAATGGGATGATAACAATAATTTCATAAATTTTCATGTTGATGCAATTCTAATAAAGACCTCTTGGAAATTTAAACAACTTCTCAGAGAAATTGCAAAACAACTACAAAAGGACAGTAAAACAATGGTTATTCAGTATGCTATTGCTCAAGGATATCCACCAATTACAATTTGCAGCGATATGAGTGTTAGTGTTTACATGGAATTGAAAAAATCAAGTGCAGGGATGACAACACTTCCCCTGTGTGTGTCGTTTGCTAAAAACACTATAGCTGCAAGCACCTCCAGTTTCGATGTTGCTCCAATTTCATCAGAAATTGCACAATTTGAAAGCACTGATATGATTACTACGTTTGATGTGCAAGAAGGAGATGACGCCATTTTAGAACTTGATGATGCAAACATCATAACTGATCAATTTCATCAAAATGTTGAAAAAGGACAAATTTATGAAGACAAGAACCTGCTGGCTCTCGTTATGAAACAGTATGCTGTTAGAGAAAAATGTCAATATCGGGTTCATAAATCATGCCCAAGAAGGTCCGTCTGCATGTTTTCAAGTAAAAAACTATGTGATACCTATATAGTATATAAGTATGCTAAATCAATATACTATGTGAGTATGGAATTGTATTGGTTTGTCTGTATTTTTTATCAGTGATACTGGTATAGTATATAAGTATGATATATCAGTATACTATGCGAGTATATAACTGTATTGGTTTGTCTTTGTTATTATCAGTAAAACATAATACCAATATAGTATGTATGTATGCTAAATCAGTATACTATGTGAGTATAGAATTGTGCTGCTTTGTCTATATTTTTTATCAGCAAAATATGATACTGATACAGTATATAAGTATACCAACAGAGTATACCATGTGAGTATATAATTGTACGGATTTTTGTGTGTGTTTTTTATCAATAAAACATGATACATAACTGTATTTGTATTATAAACAGGTATATCCTTGAATGCGTGGATGAAAGATGCACTTGGAGACTTAAAGCATCAAGCCTGCGAGCATCAAATCTTTTCAAAGTGACGGATTTCAATTCTGTCCACATTTGTTTAACTGATAAGAGATTTTGTTCACAAAAGCAAACTGTCTCAGCTTTTGTTGCAGCTGTGGTACAAGATAAACTTGTTGACCCGAAAACCATATATACACCAACAGATATCCAGAGAGACATCCAAAAAGCATATGGTATGGACTTAAGCTACATGCAAGCATGGAGATCAAAAGAAAAAGCAATGCAATTATTGAGACGATCACCAAGTGAATCATACAAGAAAATGCCAACATATCTTTATATGTTAGAGTACGCTAACCCAGGATCAGTGACACGACTACACACTGAAGGAGATAGGATCTTCTTGTATGCATTCATAGCTATATATGCATCGATTAGAGGATGGGTCTATTGTAGGCCAACAGTTGTAGTTGATGGAAGTTTTTTTAAGTCAACATATAGAGGGACCATAATCACGGCTTCCACGCAAGACGCAGAGGGTAAGAATACAATCCAATTACATTCAATTAAAGAAACAAAAAATATTTTCAAATATTATATGATACCAGTATGGTATACAAGTATACCAACAGAGTATATAGTTGTTTTGCTACATACCTGCGCGTACCTATAACTATACTACTCTATGAAATGCTAAATTAATATTTTGTGTACAATCCAATTACACTCAGTTAAAGAAACAAAAAGCATTTTCAAATATTATATGATACCAGTATGGTATACAAGTATACCTACAGAGTATATAGTTGTTTTGCTACACACCTGCGCGTACCTATAACTATACTACTATATGAAATACTAAATTAATATTTTGTGTACAATCCAATTACATTCAGTTAAAGAAACAAAAAATATTTTCAAATATTATATGATACCAGTATGGTATACAAGTATACCAACAGAGTATATAGTTGTTTTGCTACACACCTGCACGTACCTATATCTCTACTACTATATGAAATACTAAATTAATATTTTGTGTACAATCCAATTACATTCAGTTAAAGAAACAAAAAATATTTTCAAATATTATATGATACCAGTATGGTATACAAATATACCAACAGAGTATATAGTTGTTTTGCTACACACCTGTACCTACCTATGACTATACTACTATATGAAATGCTAAATTAATATAGTGTGTTGTAATTGATATTTTGTTCTTTGGGTTTACAGGACAAATTCTACCCCTTGCATATGCAATTGTTGATTCGGAAAATGATGCATCGTGGGAATGGTTCTTCGTGCAGTTCAGAGAAGCCTATGGACAAAGAGAGGGAATGTGCATTGTATCAGACAGACATGATGCTATATGGAAAAAAACTTCAATTGTCTATCCAGAAGTCCCTCATTGTGCATGTATGTTCCATCTATGGAACAACATAAAGACAAACTTCAGGAAGAGCCAAAAACAAATCAAAGAAGTATATTTTGCGTTAGCAAGAGCATACACTGTTGAAGAATTCAACATGCATATGGCAGAGTTAGAAGCTATTGATAGTAGAGTGAAAATATACCTGATGGATATTGGATATGATAAATGATCCCGGGCGCATTCCAAGGCAAATAGAACCATGACCATGACATCGAATATTGCGGAATCAGTAAATGCAGCAAACAAGCACGCAAGAGACCTCCCAGTTGTGAATTTGCTTGACTTTATGACAACATTGATTCAAAAATGGAATTACACCAATCGGAAGGATGCAGTAGAATCATTTATGAAGATTGATGCAAAGTATGAAAAAATATTGGCAGATAATACTATCTTATCACAGACGATGACGGTATGCATTTTCAAAATCATAAAAACACTGCATGTACTGTATTTTTACTTTTTTACATTAGTGATTTCACTAAATAACTGAATATTGTTATTTAAGAAATACTATTACTTCATATAGCTAATGACTTTTCTTAATTAAAATTATATTAGGTGTTGCCATCAACTGAATTCTTACATTTAGTAATTGATGGCTAAACAAGAAATGTGGTGCGCCTACATGAAAGAAACTGCACTTGTGGGAGGTTTCAGCTAGACG